TAAAAAAATTTAAAAAAAATTAAAAACATTAAAAAAGTTAAAGAACAACAACACCAACAAAAAAATGAAAATGAAAGAAAAAGAAAAAAATAATAATAATAAATGCAGTCATAGAGTTCGATTAACTTCTCTTCCAGTAGGTGGAGCTGTGCCCACTGGGCCAAGCTTCTCCTCTCAATAGGTGGGAACCATTCACTGTGCAGCAGCTCTTCGTCCCAGACTGGGCGGGTCTCCAATCCTGAGTGCCTAGGGCCTTCTCTTGTGTTTCCTCAAGCCAGACCCCGCTCACCTGTGACGCTTACCACAATATTGGTTACACGCCAGGTCTGCTGCTCCTGGGAGCCCTGTTTTCATGAACGCCTGGGCACACTCTCCCTGTTTGCCTCCCTCAGACCCTAAGTTTGTAGAGCTTGGGGCTGAGAACCCCCAGCGAATTTGCTTGCCCTCCAGTTGCCATGCCCCCGGTAGCTGGTGCAAGAGACCTCAGTTGTCAGCACTGGTGGGAGCGGTAGCCGGGAGTTCCGTGCTGCGAGTCCCGCGCCACTCCTGATTCCCTTGGTCTGGCTATGGAGCTCACAGGAGAGCTAGGAGGGGCCCTTACGGGAGAGCTGGGAGGGGCTCTTAAGGTTTCCCCGCTGTGTGAAGAGAGATGGCTAGGGGATTACACACCTGTCGCGCTGGTTTCAATGAAGTTATCTCCTCTGCCCGTGATGTCAGTTCTTTGCCAAGGTGGTATCCCGTGCAAATGGTGACCGTTCGTACCCTTTGCCGGGTGACCAATGCAACGGGTGAGTCCTGACTGACTTTCCCAAGCCCCGTTTCAGTCCTGTGGCCACTGCCTATGAAGGCTCGGTTGGCTTTTACCTCTGTATGTTCAGACGGGCCAACCAGTTATTTCAGCGGGATCGTTAGTGCTGAGTCACGAGAAGCAGGCGAACTTGAATGCAGCCGATCCGGGCTCCGTGTGTGTGTTCTGAGGGGCCCAAACTGTTCGCCCCAGATCCACGTCAGCTCAGCATTGCCTAGTGATCCTTTCTAGAGCTTCGTGAATAGTAAGATCCAAAATCGCCCTGCGTAGGAGGGGTGCTCTCCGCGCCTGCGGGGGAGGAGGTGGAGGAGGCCATGTTGTGCAGCAGCTGCTCATGTTCATAGATTTGTACAACTATCACTATGACCTAAGTTAAGAACTTTTTTATCATCACAAAAAATCTTTTTACCATCACCACACTCCCATTTCCTACCAAACATCTGCTCTCAGCCCTAGGTAACCGTGAATATACTTTCTGTCTTTACGGATTTGTCTTTTCTGGACACTTCATATAAATGGAATAACACAGCATGTGGTCCTTTGTAATTAACTGACTTATTTTGCTGAGCATGATTTCAAAGTCCATCCATGCTGTAGCAGGTTTCAGTACTTCATTCCCTTTTATTGCCAAATAATAATCCAATATATGGATATACTGCATTTTGTTTCAATTTTTTGGACTATTATGAATCATGTTGCCATGAACATTCATGTGTGAGTTTTTGTAGATGTATGTTTTTGTTGCTCTTAGATTAGACCTAAAAGTGGACTTGCTGGGTGATAGGATAACTTTATGATTGACCATTAAAAAGCCACCAAAGTATTTTCCCAGAGAGCTGCACCTTATATAGTTCCACAAGCAATGTATGAGGGCAGAATCCTTGAGTTTTAATTGAGCACTGGGCTCAGAGCCATTCACAATAAAGATGATATTTCCCAACATCCCTTACAGCTAGTGTGACTGCTTCTGACCAACGAGATGGGAGAACTTAAAATTTTGCCCTTAAAAAGAAGGAAAGTACACTCCCCGCCCCGTTCCTAGTGGCCGCATGTGGACACAGTGGTAAGTTGCCTTTGGTCATATGGTTGAAGACAACACACAGGGATGGTAGAGCCTCGAGACAGAGGGCATTGAGAGTCCTTATAGCTTTGTAGAGCAGTGCTGCGCTGCCATACTGGCATGGATTTTTTTAACAGAAAAAAAAATAAACTTCTGATTTCTAATCCACTGTTAACTTGGGTATTGCTCAGAGCTGAATTTATAATTAATGGATACCCTTGCTTATTTCTCTCTTATTATTATACTTCTACTTCTCTTACTGCCCTCTTTCAGGCTCCGTGTTAATGGGGATAAGTTAATCTATAAAAAAAATAGCAAATAAATCTCCACATCTCAGTGGCATAACACAATAGAAGTTTATTTTTCATTCCGAAAAGTCTGACACAGGTTGGTGGGAAGTGTTCTTCCGAGCACTAGCTCAGAATCCAGACCCTCTCTCTTGCAATGGTGCCATCTCGTAGTTCTTTGCTTCCACTCTTTGGAAAGGAAAAAGTATAGGTGTTCCAGGAGAAAACCTTAAACAAACCCTCCAGCTTCACTTGTATTATCTGACTTAAAAAACATAATTTTGGAGTTCATACATTATTAGTCTCCCACAAGTTTTGCTATGTTATGATGATAATGGCTGTCTAGGTTACTCTCCAGGGACCTGAGGGCCACTTTTGCTGAAAACAGCTCTTCACTTGGGCCTGCAATTGTCTGATGGGTGATTGGAAGGCTCATCTTCTCCTGTCCTATGCTGCCAAACACCAGGGTGCCAGTTCTGGCTGCACCTCTCTCTGTGTGATGATGGGAAACTCCCTTAACCCACCCAAACTTCAGTTCCTTAATCAATAAGATGAATAACTTTCTATGTATTGGGTACTGTGCCAAACAGAGTAGGGGATATAGAGATGAATTAGACAAATTCCCTGCCCTCAAAGAACTCTCAGTCATCTCAACAAATCACTGCACTACAAAATAATAAGTGCTGTAGCACAGGAATATGTAAAATGCGATGTGATTAGTACGGAATCAGTTGTCTCCAGAGCAGGGAAGGGTCAAGACAGAAGAGATATTGGAACTGTGCAGCAGGGACTCCTATTGCCCCGTATCCATCCTTCTCTTCTTCCTGGGTAATAAAACTTTCTTTCAGCTGAGAATAGAGTCACCCAGAGGATACATTTCTCAGTCTCCTTTTCAGCTAAGTGTAGCCATGTGACTAAGTTCCAGCCAATGAGATGCCAGTAGAAGTGGTAAGAACAGTATCTGAGATGTGTCTTTAATGGGAGGGAGCATGTCCTTCTTCTTTTCTTATTTCTTGCTGACTGGGCGGTGGATTTGATGGCTGGAGCTGGAACTTGGACATGGAACCTCTTGTTGAGGATGACAGTGCAACAAAATGGAAGCAGTCCTTGGCTTACATTTACATTATGGAGAAATAAAATTCCATTTTGTTTGAGCTATTCTGTTTTTCCTTTTATCCTTGTTGGTCATTTGCACCTGAGCCTAATCCTAAATACAAAGTCAATCTGAAGAAAGTGAATTATTCCCTGGGAGATAGGCTATTTCAAGCAGAGAGAACAGTAAGCACAGAGGCTCACCTCTTTTGGGAAAGAGGTTGTATATTCAGCAAAGGCCAAGACTCTGTGTGGCAGGAGATCAGACTGGAGGTGGGTCAAAATGAGCACAGGAGAGGATGGATTGAATACACAGGACTGTTGCAGAAAGACCCACTGGGTATTATGAATGAGACCAAGGTGAGAGACAACTGGGGCTATGACAATGGTGGGAATGGATAAGAGAGGATTGATTCAGGGTACATTTACAGCTGGGTGTGGTGGTGGTGTGCCTACAGTATCAGCTACTTGGGAGGTTGAGGTGGGAGGATGATGAGTGTGAAGTCAGGCCAATTAGTGAGACCCTGTCTCAAAAAAAAAATAGGGACAAAAAGGAGGAATTTAGGAATGGGTATGTATAAATATATGGAGGGAGTTTGTCATAGAGAAAGATCTGGATTTCTGGGATTCCCCTCCTCAAAGGCCCAAGGATGGAGTTCAGCCTTCCCCATGGGGAAAGTCCTTCTCTTGTTCTAATCCCTTAGGCCCAGAGTCCCTGGCCCAGATATCACTGACTGCTAGATTAAGGATTATTTCAAAAATTGAGAGATGGAAGGGTCTTTAATCCCATACATGCTGGCTCTTTCTAGCTGTCTGAGTAGCCTGTGGGGGAGCTGTTGAGATGCTCAGGCTCTGCCAGCAGCTGGACCCTGTCCCTGGCTGGCTGGCTGGCTGGGGCACAGAGTCTCTGTGTAGTTGAGTAAGAGTAGGGCTCTTGGCAGACAAATAGCCAGTCTGTTGGTGGGCCGTCCAGCAGGTCAGTGGGCGGCTGCAGGTCATAGGTTTTGGGGGAAACTGGGTGAGTCCAGCCCCACTCTTAGCATTCTAGGAAGCACCTCTACTGGGGCATCCCAATTCCAGGGAACCCATTAACTCTCTGGGTGCCAGGGAAAAGACCTGAGGCAAGCTGGGAGGTAGCTGAGGTCATCCTTCTTTGAACCTCCACGTGGTATTTACTTAAAGTGATTGTTGCCACAGGTCCAGGGCCCTAGACTATAAAGCAGAATGTCTGCTCCCTGTGCCCAGAACTGAGCAGGTGAGCAGCTGGGGCAGAGGGATGAGGATCAGAGTCCTGAGGGAGGAGATAGCAGGAGGCCTCAGGAGAGAATAGGAAGTAGGAACTAGGACATCTTCCTCAGCCCTTTGGCAGAGTGGCTTCTTCCCCCTTGGGTATGCCTCAGTCTTCCCAGCCATGAAGACAGGAAGTGAGGGAGACAGCAAGTGAGGGAGCTGGGAGCTGCTTCTGAAGCTGGGATCTGGGGAGGATGGTGGTGGGGGAACTGTGCAGGGGTGTTGAGCTCCACACTCCCTACTATGTGACTGAAGTGAGAAATGTCTGAGTTATACACCTTCCTCCCCAGCCTCCCTGATCCATCTAGGTTGGTCCTTTCCAACAACAGCTCTGCTCCCCACAGCTCAGGGAAGAGTTAACAGGATTTGGGACAGGGAGCCCCTTAGAACAAGTCCCTTCCTTTTCTTCTTTACCCTGACCAGGCTTCCATTCACCTCCTTGTCAAGAGTCCATAATCTCAGCATGGCTGTAGTCCTCACCTGGGCTCTGGTCCTCCTCTCAGGTGGGTCTCCAACCAGACTTCAAAGTAGGGGTGTGGGTGAAGGCTGGACTGAGGGACCCATCCCCCATGAGGGAGGAGAACCTGGCCCCTAATCATCCCATCCCTTTTTGCAGTGTTTTCAGCTACTCAGGCACGGAAAGGCATCTGGGACTACTTCAGCCAGAGAAGCAGGGACAAAGGCATGATGGAGCAGATCCAACAGCAGAAGCTGGCATGGGAGCCCACGTGAGTGACCAGGGAAAGGGGTATGGGCTATGGAATGATGCACTGCCCCTGATTCCAGGGCTTGCTTTGCCTGCAAATTCTAGTGGTCCTGGGTTCCAGCATCCTTGGACCCCAGCTCCTGAATCCTGGCCTTGCCATCTGTATAGCTGCTTCCCCCAGGCCAACTGTGGGAGGCAAGGGACCTGAGATCAACGGAGAGGAACCTTTCAGCAGTCCCAGAACATCAGGAGGATATGAGAGTATTGGCACCTGTAACACTTGCTTGCAAAGGAAGTACAACATGTTTGTGCTTTGTGTGTGAGGAGTTGCAGTTGTTTGGGGTTTAAGACTAGAACCCCTGGGCCACAGCCCTTCCTCCTTGGTTTCTGCAGAGCATCATCAGTATGCCATGTCTGGTGAAAAGGGGATGACTGGGGCTAGTAGACTGATGGCACGGATGTCTGTGTCCTTCCCCAGGAGCTTGAAAGACAGCCTTGAGCAAGACTTCAGCAATATGAACAAATTACTGGAAAAGCTGGCCCCGCTGAGTGGGCAGGGGAAAGGGCCTTCCCTGCTGGCACAGGACCCAGCAGGAATGAGGCAGCAGCTGCAGGAGGAGCTGAAGGAGGTGAGGGCGCGCCTGGAGCCCTACATGGCGGAGGTACATGAGCTTGTGGGCTGGAACTTGGAGGGGTTGAGGCAGCAGCTGAAGCCCTACACCATGGAACTGATGAAGCAGGTGGCCTTGCATGCGCAGCAACTGCAGGAGAAGTTGCGCATAGTGGGAGAAGACACCAAAGCCCAGCTGCTGGGGGGCGTCGACGAAGTGCTGAGCCGGCTGCAGGCGATGCAGAGTAGTGTGCTGCACCACACTGGCCGAGTCAAAGAGCTCTTCCACCCATACGCCGAGCGCCTGGTAACCGGCATTGGGCGCCACGTGCAGGAGCTGCACCGCAGTGTGGCTCCGCACACGGCCGCCAGCCCTGCGCGTCTTAGGCGTTGTGTGCAGGTTCTCTCTCATAAACTCACGCTCAAGGCCAGGGCCCTGCACGCGCGCATCCAGCAGAACTTGGACCATCTGCGCGAAGAGCTCAGTGCATTTGTCCGCGCCAGCGCTGACGGAGCTGAGCAGGGGGCCAGCCCGGACCCCCAGATGCTCTCAGAAGAGGTACGTCAGAAACTCCAGGCTTTCCGCCAGGACACATTCCTACAGATCGCTGCATTCACCCAGGCCATCGACCAGGAGACAGAGGAAGTTCAGCAGCAGTTGGCACCACCCCCACCAGGTCACAGCGCCTTAGCCCCTGAGTTCCCACAAAGCGACAGTGGCAAGACCCTGAGCAAGCTGCAGAACCGACTCAATGACCTGTGGGAAGACATCACTTACAGTCTTCATGACCAGGGCCATAGCCATTTGGGAGAACCCTGAGGGTCTACTTGCCCAGGTTCACCAGCTCTTTGTCCAAGGAGACCTGGATCCGAGCCTCTAGCATAGCCTGTTGGGCAGAGGGCAGAGGGTCCTGCACAGGTGAGGCCATTGAAGAGAGTACTGTCCCTGGCATATCCAGCCTCAACTCCCCCATCTGGATATATTATACTCACCAGGCTTTGCAAACCCAGCTTTCCGTGCTCATTTGGGAATCATCATGAGTTGCAACACTTGGGTGAAGGGAGTCGGGAGGGAGAGAGGCCCTGTGTGTGTGGGAGATTGTCTGCAAGCCTTATGAGATGGTGCCACTATATCCCAGAGTTTGGCTCCTGTCACTTCTGGTTGCCTGATGGTCACAGTTACAGCTGGTCCAGAGAGAGGAGCGCTTGTCTTGTAGAGAGCAAGGAGGAAAATATGATGGGGGAGAGCATGTGGCGGTGTGTGTATATCCTTGCTGGCTGTGATGCTGGTTGGTATGAATGGTGGGGACAGCGATGGGATGGGCAAAGCCCATATTTCCTTAGCTCTGAACCTAAATAAGGGGCTGAACCCTTCAAGCTGTGGGGTCTTCTTAAACCCTTTCCGGAGCGTATTATATATCCTCCTCATCTCCAGCCCCTCCCTCCTAACTGCCAGGCCAAAATCTAGACTTCTGGCTCAAAGGAAATAGATGCTTACGATGAAAATTGGCCTGGTGTGACTCTCATTTGGACCATGTCTGAGAGCAGCGGCCTCACCACCGTTCCCAAAGCACATACATCACCCACTACAATCCCTTGCTGCTTTTTCTCATGGAATCCCTCCCAATCATGGTCTGTCAGAGAGGCCTGGTTCTGCCTCAGCTCTCTTGGCTAGACAAAGGATGTGTGTCACATTGGGGTGAGGGCTGGGTTAAAGGCCCTTCCTCTGCACCTGTATTGTTCAACAGTCTGCTTACTACAGGGTGGTATGCATGGAATACAGGCTGTCACTGCAGAAGCTGTGGCCTGGTGGACCTGAGACTCTGGAGGTGGCCTGTCCCTTTTGTTCCTACTGCTCCAGAATCTGAAAGGTCTTTTTGGGACTGACCTTCTTGAGAGAGAGAGTTAGTTTTTTTTTTTTTTTTTTTTCAGTTTTCGGTGGACACAACATCTTTATTTTATTTTATGTGGTGCTGAGGATCGAACCCAGTGCCCCGTATGCTAGGCGAGCGCGTTACCCCTTGAGCCACATCCTCAGCCCCACAAACTCTTTATCCTCCCATTCACACACACTCACTCACTCAGAGGCATCCTATATCAACTGGGATTTATGAACTTGGGGGTGAGAGAAAAGGGTAAACACACTCCCTCTCTTTTGGACTGCTGTCCAACACCCTTTTCTCATGGCTCATCCTGGCCTATGCAGGGTTCTCAGCAGAATCTAAATGAATCTGGGTTCTTCATGCCAGCAGACTAGTCATCCCTGACACCAGGACTTAGCCACTTTCAGCTACAGAACTAGGGTGTGGTCCCAGCATAGGGAGAAGGAGAAAAGCTTGGGGGGGGTGGGGGAGAAGGAGAAAAGCTTGGGGGGGTGGGGGGGGAAGGAAAAAAAAGAGTGTTTTTGTGGGAAATACATAGACGTGTGTTGAATGTGGTGGGGATGAGGGACTGGGAGTAAAAATAATGGTTGTGATTTTGAGACTAGAATTTGCGGAGGTGCTAAAAAGGGCAGAAATTAGGGCTAGAGAAGAGCACAAACGGAACGAGGGATTGGGAGACTGAGACAAGGGAAGAAACTGAGCAATCCGAGAGCGGAACATAGAGCCTAACAGAGGTCCTGGAGTCCAAGCAGCGTCTGGTCCAACAATAGATAGACACAAGTCCAGTTATGACCGCACCTCCTCCAGGATTCCCAGGGACAGGCCAGTCCCCTTCCCAACATGGCTCTCCTAGTCAGACTTATGGACCACTAGTTGGGCTTCTTGTGCCATGAATGCATTGCGAAAAAACTGCCCTACATCTGAGAGCAACTCCTGAGGAAAGTGACAGCCGAGCTGAAGTGTATCCTGCTCACTATAGAAGTTCAGGAAGTCCCAGTAATTCCGGAAACCGGAAAACCTTGTCAGACACTGCTACCCGAGGGCCCAGAGTCTGCCGCCCCTTTAAGAAAGGGCGCGCGGGGGTGGGATGGGGGGCGGGGACGGCAGCTAGCGGAAGTGGGGCATCTAAAGCAGCGGAAAAGGTGGGGCCTCGAGAGCAACAGAAGCCGGAAGCCGAGGTGTGAGCTGCGCGTGGGGTGATGTCGGCCAGCGGGGCTGTAGAGCCGGGGCCCCCGGGGGCTGCCGCCGCCCTCTCGCCCGCCCCGGCCCGGCCGTCCTCCGCGGGGCACTTGTTCCGGCCCATCAGCGCGGAGGACGAGGAGCAGCAGCCCACCGAGATCGAGTCGCTGTGCATGAACTGTTACCGCAACGTGAGGCTGGGGTCGTGGTTTCGGGAGGCGGGAGTGTCGGGCTTAGGAGATGCGGGGAAGGGGGTCGACCACTAGCCTGGTGGATCCAGTCCGGAACTCAGAGGCGCACCCGGGAGAAGTGCCGGGAATGCGAATTCATTGATTATTTCCTTCCCTGCTTTTTTCTTCCCCAGGGCATGACGCGACTTTTGCTCACGAAGATCCCTTTCTTCAGAGAAATAATCGTGAGCTCCTTTTCCTGCGAACACTGTGGCTGGAGCAACACGGAGATACAGTCGGCGGGCAGGATCCAAGACCAAGGAGTGCGCTATGCTTTGAGTGTCAGGGGCCTGGAGGTGAGAGGAGCCTAAAGCAGGTCCTCACTATCCCAAACAGAGCATGGGGACTGGCGTCAGATCTCTGTCCCAGGTCATTGCACCCAGAATAAATCCCCAATAGCTAAGCCTTAGTTCCCTCCTTTGTAAAAAGGCGTGTTACTGTCATCTTACATGAGATAAGATTTGTTAAAGTGGGAGTTTGTCAGATTATGGAATGAACAGGAGTTACTATGGGTAATATTCTCACCATTTAGGCAGTCTGGCTCATACCATATGTATGTACTGTTCTGAAGGAGTTGACTGGTCCCTCCCAGGTGGAGAGAGGGAGAAACAACTAGGTTGAGGTCTGATGGAGGGGGATAGTCTGGTTATTTCTTTAGGCGAAGCTGTCCTGCTGACCTGTTTGGACCAAGTTTCTTTTATGCCCAGGACATGAACAGAGAAGTGGTGAAGACGGACTCTGCCACCACCAGGATACCTGAGCTGGATTTTGAAATTCCAGCTTTTAGCCAGAAGGGAGGTAAGTTTAAGATTAGGACTGTTAAAGATTTGGACATACATATTGGATATATTGGAATCACATATATTGGAATCCTATACATTTTCTTTCAGAACACCTGATATTGGGCCTAGTTTGACTATGTAATCATTGTGATTTTTCATGGGTTTAACATGAACAGAAGGCTTAAGTAAAACAGTTTAGGGTAGTAAAAGGTAATGGTAAGACCATACTGTTCTTATTTTAGAATTTTAGCATCACTGTTATCAGAAATGAATGGAACCTAGTGGCTGGCCTCCTTTTACAGATGTGGAAATCAAGGTCCCGAGAGTTCAGGTGAATTGCTTAAAATCATATAGGCACTTGGTAATAGAGCTAAGTCTTGTCTTTTGTTGTTATTTATAAGCTCTGACCACCGTTGAAGGATTGATCAACCGTGCTATCTCTGGCTTGGAGCAGGACCAACCCACAAGAAGGGTGAGCTGATTGTGGGGGAACTTTTTGGCCAAGCATACAGTGGGGGGTGTAACTGCCAGGATGTTGTATATATTGTACTTTTTGTCCTTCTCATGTCTGTCTCCTAGTGTATATTTAGGTCTCATCTCAGACAATGTAATGTTATCTCAGAAGTACCCTTTCTGATCTCCTTGAATTATCTATGCTTCTGGGCATTCTAATATATCTTATATTTATTATTACAGAAATAATGTAAAATATTTAGTCATCTGTCTCCCTGACTGGCTAGAGAGCTCTATCAGAGGACTGTGATTTAATTGTTGTTTTATCCCTAACCTGGTATGACTACCTGCACTAAGTGGTGGAATGAGTGAGAAAATAAAACTCTTGGCAGCACCCATAAACTTCAGTCTTAAGAAGTATACCACCAGGGCTGAGGCTGCTTTTACTTTATTCATAACAGGCAAAAGAAGAAGCCATAGCTGAAAGAATTGATGAGTTCATCATCAAACTGAAGGAGCTAAAGAAAGTGGCCTCCCCTTTCACTCTGGTAAGTATTGAGGGACTGTAGTTGCTTTTCATTTAAGGGAGGAGAGAAAATTAAAACTGGGATTTTTCCATTGTGATCTTATGGTAGGTGGAGGGTTGTATGATTTCATGTTAGAATTATTCTCTCTTCACTCATCTATTAGATCATTGATGATCCCTCAGGGAACAGCTTTGTAGAAAATCCACATGCTCCCCGGAAAGATGATGCCCTGGTGATCACACACTACAACCGGACCTTACAGCAGGAAGAGATGCTGGGGCTCCAGGTAAGTGAACTGAAGAAGCCAGAAAAATGCTCTGGAATTATCTTGGTTCCTGGATTGCTTGGAGTCAGTGGAAACTTATTTTGTTGCTGTTACTGCCCTCTGTTAGCTTGCTTGTGCCTTTCATTTAGTTCATGTCAAGACTTAGGGTAAACTTCACAGAAAGGATACTAGCACCTGTGATCCTGTCTTGAGGCCTTTTCTTCCCTTGAGTGAAGATTCACTTTCTGGCTTTTCTTTCTGATTCATGAGTAGGCATTTGATATAATTGAGTGAGGGCATTTTTCTCCCACTGAGGCAAGGTGCGGGGAAATATTCATTGGCTGAGAGGTCTACTTGTCAACTTGTGATTTGCATCTCTGCTGTTTTAGGCAGAAGCACCAGAAGAGAAGCCAGAAGAGGAAGATCTCAGAAATGAAGTGAGTCATGTTGGTTCCTATGAGAAAGGAGCAGCATTGTGGGCTGAGATTGATGCTGTTAATT